AATTTTTAGGTCGCGGGCCTTGGTGTTTGGGCTCAGATCTGGCCTTTCGCAGTTAGTAAAGTGCAGATCTAGCATTTCGCCATTGCTTAAGTGCAGATCGAGCATTTCGCCGTTGCTTAAGTGCGGATCGAGCATTTCGCCGTTGTTTATGTGCAAATCGAGCATTTCGCCGTTGCTTAAGTGCGGATCGAGCATTTCACCGTTGCTTAAGTGCGGATCTAGCATTTTGCCGTTGCTAAAGTGCGGATCGAGCATTTCGCCGTTGCTTAAGTGCAGATCTAGCATTTCGCCGTTGCTTAAATGCGGATCTAGCATTTCGCCGCTGCTTAAGTGCGGATCTAGCATTTCGCCGTTGCACGCTGGCACTAGATGGATGAAGCAGGGCGGGACTGGCTTGGGAGGTGGGGGGAGAGAATGTGCGACGATTTGAATATGCTCTATATTGAATTTCCCCCTGGGCGAACACGAACATGTTCGCCACGAACATGTTCGTGTTCGCCTGTTGCAGCAATTCGTTCGCCTCCTAGGGCGAACGGCGAACACCTATTTTCACTCAAGTCGTTCGCCGAACCGAACACTGTTCGGTTCGGCAGAAGGCCATGTTCGTCAGGGGGCGAACACGAACATGTTCGAGTTCGCCCCCTGCTCATGCCTAGGCCCGCCTATGGTCGCTGGCGGCGTCCCTGCAGAGCCTTGAGCGGATTCTCCAGGAGTCATTTGACTCCATGCCGGTGAGCCCTCCGAGCAGGTTCTCTCAGAAACCGCGAGCAGATTGTCATGCGGCGGCGTCAGCGCTATTCGCGCTCGTAACGCCACTGCAGGTAGCGCCCTCGCCGGGAGCAACCTCGGCCAGCCAGCTGGCTGACTCGGCCCTGGCTCTGAGGACGCTTGTAGCAGGCCCTGGTACTCCTGTTGACGTTGTAGGCGCCACCGTGTCTGTGGTCCGCCAGTTGTGGTTGAACACGAGCGGAATGCTCGCTGCGGTAGAGGCGGACCGCATGTAGGCGCTCCCCCCCTTGCGCGTATAGACCCGTTCCATCCTCTACTTGCCAAGTGCCTATGCTTGCTTTGTTTGTATCGGTTGCCTGAGCTACTACTGCTTGTTGTTTCCCCTTGCCATCCCTAACGCGCGGCCGAAGGCCGCCGGCGCGAAGCGCCGAAATTTCCAGCACTAACTGAAAGAATGAGAGATGGAGAGGCCGCCGTGGCCTTAAGTAGTCATGGCAGAGGGCAGAGAGCAGAGGGCAGAGGGTAGAAGGGGAGAGGCTAATCCTCTCTCTCTCTCTCTCCCTCTCTCTCTCTCTCTCTCTCGAACGGGCCTTGGTATTAATGTCAGCAAGGTACACACATGGTAAGGCTACAGCAATCTCACGGCAAGGCTACAGCAAAACAGCAGCTAACCCCGCACTATCCCAGCCCCAGCCCCCCCCTCCCCGCCCGGCCCTAATGGCCGGAGGGGTCTTCTATCAACTGATACAGCTGCCCTTCACTCATTGGGGTAAACGGGCCCTGCAGGCCGAGCGCATCCGCCGTGAGGGCCTCATGGGTCTTATCCCTGAGGGCAGTGGCTTGCGCTCTCTGCAGGGTCACACTCCACCGCTGCCGGTACTCGGTGAGTAGCTTGGCGCATTCCCTCGACTTGGGGGTGGCGTTGAACCGCCGCATGGCCGCTAACTCCGCGCAGCTGCGAAGGAATTCCAGGACTCCACTCGAGGGGTAACCGTAGGTCTCAACCGCCAAGGCGTAAAAGCCCACCCAAGCGCTCCGCCTGGCGTATTTGCTTGCCTTCTTGTCCGCCTGCATTCTAGCAGCCCAACCGGGAGCTTTACGGGCGTATTCATCCTGGTGGGAGACGGGGTCCGTGACCGTGATGTCACAGATCCACACTTCACCGGTGTCGGGATGGCGGATAGAGATATCCGCTTTGAGGTTTTCGACCGGTGAGTAAGCCGTTGTCTCCTTATGCACGGTGAAGCCCGCTTCCGCAGCTATCTTTGCGCACTCGTCCCGAAGGGCATTGTGGGTTGCAATTCTCCCCCCCCCTTTCTCGCACCGCATCAAATGGTTCGGTAGGCGGTCGTCGGGGAATGTGGTGCGGTATCTGCAGTCGCAGCGCCTTGGCACAGGTAGGGGGAGGCCTAAGCGGAAGGAGGCCGCTGTGGAGAACTGAGAGGGCCCGAGGCGGAGGGAGGAGATCAGCGGGACGGCGAGCAGCCAGTCCCCTGCGCCGGGGCCCAAGAGGGACTGCAGCCGCTGCGTGTGTCCGAACAGTGGGTTGAGCTCCATCTCCCGCGAGCTCTCGAGCAGTTGCATGAACCTTGCAGTTTGGACCGCGAGGGAGAGCGACTGTTGGAGCTTTGGCCCGTCCGGTCTCTGTCTCCCCACTTGGAGGGCCTCGATCCCCTCAGGAGGCAGCACGGCTTCTAGGGCAGCAAGGCGCCTTGGGAGGAGGGACGTAGATTCCTCGTTGGAGTCCATTAGCGGCAGCAGTCCAGTGAGAGCAGGGTTTGCCGCGTCGCCGAAGGTTCGCAGCAGGTGTGCAGCAGCAGTGACTGCAGCCAGGTAGGCATGTCCCCCCTCCACTGCAGGGTTGGTGAAGCCCAGGCCTCCCAGGGACGCGGGCAGGGCGGCCTGGTGCCAAATCCTCTCCCTCTCGACCCGGGCTCTGGGGATTTCTGTGTGTGCTGCGGCAAGGTAGGTATGGAACAGTTCTTCCCCCCAGGCGGACCATTCCCTCAGCGGTAGGGCTTCAAGCGGCGTGGCTCTGACCATGAACGAAGCGCGGCGGCTCACGCAGCGGGTAAGTAGGAGCAGGCAGAGTTGCGGGTCCATTTGGGAGAGGAGCGGGAGCGGTTCAGCAGCAGCTTTAAGGCGTTCCCGCACTCGGGCAGCGCAGCCGGCGGGGGGCCCAATCGGGCTGCCCAAGACGCGGATCCCGTCCCGGGAGATAGTGACGCCGTGGGGCAGAGCGGCGGGCTCCAGGGCTGTGGCGGACCATGCTTCGCATTTCGCGGGGTTGTGGGACAGGCCGTGGCTGAGAAGTGCTTCCGTGAGGTGGTTGAAGGCCGCCGTGCAGCTCGCAGTCTCGCCTAGCAGGGTGATGTCATCTGCGTACGCGAGGAGCACCACCTCTGGGTGGGCCGTCGCCGTTGCAGCGAGACAGGGGTGGATGCTGGCCGCGAACAGCATAGGCCCCAGTGGGTCACCCTGGCGCACGCCTCGCGCGCTCTGTAGAGGCGCCGCCTCGAAATCGTGGTCGAGGTAGAGGGCTGATGGGCGGCCGTATGAGAGGCGGACGAGGGGGACCAGGGTGTCAAGCTTCGTGCCTTTCAGTCCTTCAAACACCGCCGCGCGCTCCACGGCATTGAAAGCGTTTGCCAGGTCGATCTGGAGGGCCGTTGCTCCGGGGAACTCCTCCAGGTAGGTGCGGGCCGCGTGTATCGCTGCCTCGATGCCCCCCGCGATCGCCACACCGAATTGTAGCGGGGTGAAGTGGTCGCGCGCTGCAGGGGCGGCCAGGAAGAGCGCCGCCTTTGTGACAATACGCAGCAGACATTCGCCCACGGCTATTGGCCTAGTTCCGCCTTGGGGTTTCGTGAAGGCGAGCAGGCGCGAAGCGGTGAGTAGATCTGCAGCCTCGGCGCTCAGTTTACCCGCTAGCGCCGTGTTGGTAAGCGCGTGCAGTTGTAGGAGGACGTCGGTGTTCCCAAGGGCCGCATCTCTCAAGTGCTCGAAGGTAGTCCCTGATGGCCCAGCCCCTACGCCGTTGGGGCAACGGGCAAGCAGCTTCCTGAACTCGCGAGCTGTGATTGAGGGCAGAGTCTCAGGGGCAAAGTCTTGCACCCAGACTGGGATGGCTGCGGTGGCCCTTGGGTGCCTGGCCGTGAGCGCAGCCAATACGTCAGGGGTTGGCGAGCAGACGGGCGTGGCAGTTAGCGACTGGAGGGACTTCGCCAGGTTTCCCCTTTTCGCTAATCCCTCGGCTCTCGCCAGCTTTCCCGTGGTGTCAGGTACGTGGCGTGGTTGGGGGTTGTTGTTCACTGCTTCTGCCGCCTCGTCGTAAAGGCCGCGCCACTGCCCTTGGCGAAATCTCGTCAGTCTGTCGCCCATTGCCTTCCAGTCTGGTTTTCGTGCAGATGACGAGCGCAGGAGAATTCGCGGGAGAAACATCAGCAGCTTCCAACCAGGAGTGGAATCAGGGGTTATGGCGAGGTGCAGAAGTGGGGTCAGCAGGCAGATGGCGAAGGATTCGCGAAGTGGGCGAGGAGGGTGGCGGGCAAGGGGTGGCTGTCTGCTGTCGCGCAGCGGGCCGAGGTCCCAGTTGGCGATGTCAGCGAAAAGGTCTTGACGTCTTGCCAGGATGTCAGCGCTGATGATTGGGGCGGGGGTGGCAGGCGTTGGGCCCGTGTTACTGGCTGGGGCGGTGGTAACCGCAATGTTGGGGGCGGTTCGGTTTGGTCTCGCGGTCCGATTTCTGGGGGTTGGGGTTGCAGATGCGGCTCGGCCCAGGTTTGGGATTTGCCCCACACCTTCGGATCTGGTTTGGTTGGCAGGAACGCCTCGGGCACGTGGGCTGGGGACCTCCTCTCCTTGGAGTAGGCGATCCAACTCCTCGTCATCCTCCTCGACTTCAACCCCTAACAACCCCTCTCTTTCAGGGTTAAATAAGGGGTCCCCCTCGTCACTTCTCTCATTCTCCGTAGCCTCCTCAGCCTCCTCGCGAAGTTCCTCCTCGCCGCCTCTCGCGCTCTGACGTATCAGCCTCTCCGCGTTTCTCGCGAAGCCGCTGGCTCCTGTGCGGCGTCTGTTCGTGCCCCGCGCACCGCCGCCTCTCCGTCCCCGCTCGCTACCCCTTCGTCCGCGGCGACTGCCGCGTCCGACGCAGATTCCGCGCGTTGCTCTTGCTACTGCGACTCCCTCGCGCCCTGCCAGCGGCGCCGCGGTCGTCTCGCCTTCCCTTCGTCGGCGCGCTGGCATCTGCTGCGCTACGGTCGGGAGTGATGGACCCGTCCGCAAGACGGGATCCGGAGCTTGAGCATTCCGCGGAGAGCGCGCCGCGGGAGCCTGCGCCTGCCGAGCCTCGGCCACGACTTCCTGCGCATCCCTCCGCAAGCGAGCCCGTTCACCGATTCGAGCGGGTGCAGACTCTTCCCCATCAGCCAGCCTCGCGCCTCTCCCCCCCTGAGTATTCGTGGGCTCCTGCGCGTGTAGCGTCGAACCGTCCTGACGGTCAGCAGCCGCAGCAGCGCGGGCGCTCGCCTCAGCGTCATCCCCAACGGCAGCCGTCTCCTCGTCGCCTATCTCCCGCGCGTCGCGAACATTATCAGCGCAGGGAGGGGGATCCGCGCTCCCCTGACCGTCCTCGCTCTCCTCGGCGCCCGTCTCCTCGTGGTCGAGCAGGCCAGCGCTCACCCCGAGCGCGATCCCCCGCTCAACAATCACCGCGGCGAGCTCCGGCGACGCGGGGGAAGGGGTCGCCTGGGCGTCGCTGGGAATCAGGTCGTCGCGAGCAGTCCCCTCCGCGTCCGAATTCGGGTGGTTCCGCTGGGCGGCGGGGCCGGCGGAATGGCGGAGGGCGCGGCTCATCTGGCCGCCAGCCGGATCCTGCTCTTGATCACGCTGCGAACACATTCGTGGATGTGGTGCGGCAGGCCCGGGCGAGCGGGGGGCCGACTCACGTTCACATCGAGGTGACAAATGGCCCTCCCTTTGCCGCGGATCCCGGCCCGGTGGCCCCACTGCGCGCGCCGATGTTGGCCGAGTATCTGCCCGCGCGGGTGGGGAGACCCGACTATCGCTCCCCTCGTCAGGTTCCTGGCTTCTCCGCTGGGCGCTTGACTGTTGGCCGCGTTCCTGGCTGGTCGGCGTCGTTTCCGCTCGAAGAGCAGACTGCACCTCACCCCAATCCCGTGGAGAGAGACCCCATGCTGACCATGTGCCGGATATTGAATCTGGCGGAGGCGTGCGAGGTGGTGGCGAACTTGCAGCTGGCAGTGTGTGGGGCCACCCGGAACTTTCCGAGCAGTTTCGGTCCAGGATCCCGAGGATCCTGCGTGACTTTGGCAGGATCGCTCGAGTCGCCGTTGGCGCCCGTGTCGGAAGCGCCCGCCGGGGTAGCTCCCTTAGCCCGTACTTTCCCCCGCCACGTGGGGGATCTTGTAGGGGCTGCTCAGGCCGGGACCCCCCTCTCTCTCTCATGGTCCTTGTATTAGTTGAAGGGTGGTTTCTGTCTCCCGCCTCAACGCCACTCTGCCTCCCATCTTCACCAGCAGCATGTAGTTTCTGTCTTTCCACTACCCCCCTCACCTTCTTCCATGTTTCTACCCTCTCCCCGCTCACTCCTCATTCCCCTCTCCTCTCACAGGGACGTCCCGTACAACAAGTTCAACGGCTCTCTCCCTCCCATCTTCACCCGCAAATCCTCTGAAGCTCTCCGCTTTTCCCACCCTCTCCCTCTCTCCCCTTGCAGGCACCTCTCTTATTACAGGCTCAACAGCTCTCTCGCTCCCATCTTCACCAGCAGCAGCTCGTCTTGATCTCTTTGCTCGACTCTGAAGCTGCTCTTTGCCCTTGCGTATCTCCCCTTTCTCCCCACCCTCTCCGCTCTCTTCCCTCGCAGGGACCTCTCGTACAACAAGCTCAACGGCACTCTGCCTCCCATCTTCACCAGCAGCATGCAGTTTCTGGGATTCCTGTATGAGCCTTCCTCTTTATTAAGTTGACTCAAAGACCTTTCTAGGCTGCCTTTCCGGAGTTGTGGCTGCTGTCGTGGGCAAGGGTGGGGTATGGGCAAGGGTAGCGCATGGGCAAGGGTAGCGCATGGGCAAGGGTAGCGCATGGGCAAGGGTAGCGCATGGGCAAGGGTAGCGCATGGGCAAGGGTAGTGTATGGGCAAGGGTAGCGCATGGGCAAGGGTAGCGCATGGGCAAGGGTAGCGTATGGGCAAGGGTAGCGCATGGGCAAGGGTAGCGCATGGGCAAGGGTAGCGTATGGGCAAGGGTAGCGCATGGGCAAGGGTAGCGTATGGGCCTGGGCTGGCACTTGATCGGTCATATGTATGACCGGAGTCCATGGGCCTGGGCTGGGCACTTTGTTGAATTTTGAGACATCTCAAAAGTCGGCAAGGGTAGCGTATGGGCATGGGCCGCCTAAGCTGGGCTGGGCACTTGGCCGGTCATTGGGATATTCTTCGATTCTTACTTTATCTCATTGGGATGTTTCTTAAGAATCCGGAAAAAAACTGCCCGTCCAGTTTGGCCCCTTCACTATGACTGCCTGCTGCTCTCTCAAGCCACCTTTATTAGAATGGCACATGGCACATTTCCCTCCCTCTCCCTCCCCTTACTCCTCCTGTAGTGAGGTGCATTTTGACGCGCCTCAAAATGCTCTCTCAAGCCACCTTTACTAGAATGGCATATGACACATGTCCCTTCCTCTCCCTCCCCTTACTCCCCCCTCCCCCTATCCAGGCATCTATCCCACAACTCCTTCCTAGGACCGCTTCCTTCCAATCTGGCCACTCTCACCCCTTCCCCTCCCCCTCCCCCTTCCCTTCCACCTCCACCTCCCCCCACCCCCCCCCTCCCGCTATCCAGGCATCTATCCCACAATTCCTTCCTAGGACCGCTTCCCTCCAATCTGGCCACCTGCCAATCGCTTTACGAACTGTAAGCATGTGAACCAAGACGACTTCTGTGGCACCTCAGAATCCATCCCCCCACTTCACCAAGCATCTTTGTCACAACTCCTTACGCCCGCTGCCCTCCAACCTGCTCACCTGCCAGCCAGTCGCTCTACAAACTGTAAGTAAGCTTTCAAGACACCAAAAAGGTCGTAACCAATTTGTAACCTTGATATGTAACGAACTCTTATCGAGTGATTTACCTGGTTGCTTTCCTTTCATTTTCTGAAGAGTCTTCTCTGCCCCTCACTCATCTTCCCCCCTTTTCATTCCCCACCCACCTCCCCTCCCTTTCCCCCCTTCCCCGTCTCTCCCCCACTTTCCACCCACACACATGCCCAGTGACGTCAGCAACAACTATCTGAGTGGCATGGTGGCTCCCATTATCAGCTCGCTGACGTCACTGCAGACACTGTAAGCGCACTGTGCTGCATCCTATGCTGCATTGACCACCCCACCCCATCCCACTTGACCTCACCCCATTCCACCTCACCCCACCCCACCCCACCCCACCCCACCCCATCCCACCCCCTCCAACCGCAGTGATCTCTCCTCCAACTACTTCACCCGGCCAGTCCCTCCCCATGAGCTCACCCCCTCTCATCCAACACTACAGCATCCACACCAACTATTTCTCCAATGCCTCCCTGTTACCCCCCACCCCACCCCACCCCACCCTACCCTACCTCACCTCGTTCCATCCCACCCCCTCCCACCGCAGTGATCACTACTCCAACCATTTCACCGGCCCAGTCCTCCCCATGAGCTCAGCCCCTCCTGTGCCCCTACCTACACACCATCCACACCTCTCCCCACCCTCCCACTCCACTCCACCCCACCCCACCCTATCCCACCCCCACCCACCCCAACCCACCCTGGCCCACCTCCCTTCACCTATTTTCACCGCAGTGATCTCTCCTCCAACTATTTGACCGGGCCAGTCCCCCCCATGAGCTCAGCGCCTCTCATCCAACTCTACAGCATCTATGTTTACAATCCCTCCCTCTTACCCCTCCTTCCATCCCACCCCACCCCCTCACACCGCAGTGATCTCTCCTCCAACTTCTCACTGGACCAGTCCCCCCATGAGCTCACCCCCTCTCATCCAACACTACAACATCCACACCAACTATTTCTTCAATGTCTCCCTCTTAACACTCCCCCCCCCCCTCCCCCCCCCCACCCACCCCACTCCACCCCCACCCACCCCAACCCACCCTGTCCCACCTCTTTTCACCGCAGAGATCTCTCTGCCAACTATTTCACCGGGCCAGTTCCTTCCATGAGCTCAGCCCCCCTCATCCTGCACTACAGCATCCACACCAACTATTTTTTTGGCTCGGGCAACATTCTCGACCTCGCCGGAAATTCCATCTGCCCGAACGCCACCTCCTCCGTCCAAACCGCCAACAACTGCCTCCAATACGAGTCCGACACCTGTACCAGCGCCACCAGCACAGGCGGTAACCCTGTTACCGTAACCGAGGCCCAGCGCACCGCAGCAGACTGCACAGCGTTTTGCTCGACGAGTTTCGGGCTGGTTACCACTCCGGGGAGTAACGCGCAGTGCACTTATGGGATCGGGGTGTGTGTGGTTAGCGCCGTTGCGGTTACCACGGGTGCGGTTACCATACAGTGTAACTGCACGTGGCTGGGGTCGACCCTTGCGGCTAACAAGACTGCCTGCCTGCCTCCTCGTAAGCCTCTCTCCACCTCTCTACATCTCTCTCCACCACTCTCCACCTCTCCACACTTCTCTTCTTGAGACATCACAAACGGGACCATACAGTGTAACTGCATTGCACCTGGCCAGGGTTGTCTCTTGCAGCTAATGGCACTACCTGCCTGCCTCCTCGTAAGCCTCCCCGTTCTCCACCTCTCTCCACCTCTCTCCACCACTCTCCACCTCTCTTCACCTCTCATTACCTCCCTCTTCCTTCTCTTTCTGTTGTCCCTTCCTCCTCCTTCCTCTGTTCCTCTTCTCCCTTGCACCTTTAGATGCAACCCCCCCTCCTCCTTCTCCCCCATCTCCCCGCCCTCCTCCCCCTCTTTCCCCCTCCCCCTCCCCCGTATCCGCCCTCTATCCTCATCTTCCCTCTATTCCTCTTATTGTCTGCCATGTGTCCCACGGCAATCATTCAGTGTTGTCAAGTGCATCAATAGTTTCCCTCAATACCTAGAAGCCCCTCTTATAATCACCCTCATTGCAGTCACGTTCTTGATTCTTTCCTCCCCTTCTGTGTCCCTCCCTTCCTCCCCTTGCCCCTCTCTCCCGCAGCTCCTCCCCCCTCTCCTCCACATCCTCCCCCACTTCCCCCCCAACCGTCACCTCCACCCCCACCTCCCTTCCCCCCACCGTCACCCCCATCTCCCTCTCCCCCTCCATTCCCCCCACCTTCCCCACCTCCCCCTTTCCCTCCCCCATCCCCACCTCCTTCCCCACCTCCCAACCCTCCCCCTCCTCCTCCATCCCCCCCCCCTAGACCCCCACCTCTTCCTCCTCCATCCCCCCCAAACCCTCCCCCATCCCCCCCTTCTCCCCCACCCAAGCCTCCCCCATCTCCCCCTTCTCCCCCACCCAACCCCCCCCTTCTCCCCCATCCCCTCCCCCCAAGCCTCCCCCATCTCCCCCTTCTCCCCCACCTAAACCTCCCCCTTCTCCCCCATCCCCTCCTCCTAACCCTCCCCCATCTCCCCCTTCTCCCCCGCCCAAGCCTCCCCCATTCCCCCCTTCTCCCCCACCCAAACCTCCCCCTTCTCCCCCATCCCCTCCCCCCAGGCCTCCCCCATCTCCCCCTTCTCCCCCACCCAAACCTCCCCCTTCTCCCCCATCCCCTCCCCCCAAACCTCCCCCTTCCCCCCCACCCAAACCTCCCCCTTCCCCGCCTCCCTTCCCTCCCCCTTCCCCTCCTCCACGGCCCCCTCCCCGCCCTCCTCCCTCCCCTCCACCTTCACCTCCCCCTCGCCCCCCACCTCGTCCCCCTCCCTCCCCTCCCCCTTTCCCTCCCCCTTCTCCCCCACCCAAACCCCCCCCTTCCCCGCCTCCCCCCCCTCCCCCTTCCCCTCCCCCACGCCCCCCTCCCCGCCCTCCTCCCTCCCCTCCCCCTTCGCCTCCCCCTCGCCCCCCGCCTCGTCCCCCTCCCTCCCCTCCCCCTTTCCCTCCCCCTTCTCCCCCACCCAAACCCCCCCTTCCCCGCCTCCCCCCCCTCCCCCTTCCCCTCCCCCACGCCCCCCTCCCCGCCCTCCTCCCTCTCCCCCCCCTTCCCCTCCCCCACGCCCCCCTCCCCGCCCTCCTCCCTCCCCTCCCCCTTCGCCTCCCCCTCGCCCCCCGCCTCGTCCCCCTCCCTCCCCTCCCCCTTTCCCTCCCCCTTCTCCCCCACCCAAACCCCCCCCTTCCCCGCCTCCCCCCCCTCCCCCTTCCCCTCCCCCACGCCCCCCTCCCCGCCCTCCGCCCTCCCCTCCCCCTTCCCCTCCCCCACGCCCCCCCCCTCGTCCCCCTCCCTCTCCTCCCCCTTCCCCTCCCCCACGCCCCCCGCCTCGTCCCCCTCCCTCCCCTCCCCCTTTCCCTCCCCCCTCTCCCCCTCCGCGTCCCCCCCCATCGCCTCCCCGTTCCCCCCCTCCATCCCCTCCCCCGCGTCCGCCACCCTCCCCGCCACCACCTCCCATGCTACCATTATTGGAGTGTTACAAGACAAGCCTCAACGATAAATGCAAATGTTTTTGCCCGTTCTTCAATCAATGCTATTGCATACAATAAAAGACAGAAGTGTAATCCATTATAGCATATGATCTTACCCTTTGCCAGCACCACATCAGTGTCACCTGTATATGCCCTGAGTGTAGCTGGGAAAAATCTGATGAGATATATTTGCAAGTCTCTTCTCACAAATCAGTTCATCTGTTTATATTGAATGCAGTCAAGTCAAGTCTGTACAACTGTAGCAAGGAGCTAAAACAACTGATCTGCAAACGAGGTAAACTGAAAAAGACACAATTTACTGCACACCGATGCCTAAACCCCGATTCCTGTACCCAGAGTCTCTAACCTCTGGACATCGGCGTGCTACGAGGGCAGCTAGCGGACTGTAGCGGTTACGAGAATTTCATTATTTGCCCTTCGAAATTTGACGCATAAAAGGTGCGGCGCGTAGGTAGGCGTGTTGGGTGTACGTAATGGCAATGTCCGTACTCGTACGAGGCGCCTCGCCGACGGCCGCGTTCCACGCCGACTTTAGCGCTCGTCGCGGTGCTGCTACCGCATATTCCGCAAGATCCCCCCTGCAGACTTCACTTCCGCCATCTGCGCTTCCGCCGTCTTCTCTTGCGCCGCGTTCTGAGGCGCACTCGCGACGCGCTCGATTAATCATCACCGCCGCCGCGGCGGCGGCGGACGGGCGAGAAGGAAGCACGTCGCCGCAGGACGCGGCAGAGTCGCCCAGCCGTGGGCGGCAAAGAAGGCGAACGAGGCTTGGTGGCGGTCCGGATACAGGATCGCCTCAAAGTTCGGATCTAGGTTCGCCAGAAAGTTTGAACTCAGGTTCGCCTCGAAGTTCGGATCAAGGATCGAATCCAAGTTCGGATCCAGGATCGAATCAAAGTTCGGGTGGCAGCAGCGGTGGTAACCCTACTAGCAGAAGGGAATGGCAGGGGGGGATGGAGGCCATTGGCGGTGGGATTTTGAGGGGAGGGGAAAGCAAGGGAATGGGCGGAGAGAGAAGCGCGGGGATGGGCGGCGGCGACGGCGGGCGGAGGCGGATCGGGGTTGGTGGCGCGGAGGGGATGAGCGCAGCGCGGCAGCGGCGGCTGGAGAAGTCGCGGGAGGCGCGTGAGCAGCGGAAGGAGTCCGCGGAGGAGGAGTTTCAGCAGTGGGCGAGGTGAGGGGGGAGGGGGAAGGGAAAGGGAGGGGTAAGGGGGGGAGTTAGGAGGAGGGGGGCGGAGGGAGGGAGGTGAGTCTTGTGGGGAAGACCAGGAGGCGCGCTATTAGCGGAAGGAGTCCGCGGAGGAGGATCCCAAAAAATAGAAATCTCCGCATTCAACAATGGGCGAGGTGAGGGGGGGAACGAGGGGAAGGGAGGTGGGGAGGGGGGAGGGGGAGACAGAGTGGGTGATGGTTGTTATGGGGAAGACCAGAGTGTAGCAGGGGGAATCGGCGGAGGAGTTTCAGCAGTGGGCGACGTGAGGGGGGGAGGTGGAAGAGGGTGAGGGAGGGAGAGGGGGTGGAACGGGGAGGGGGGTCGGAGAGATGGGGAGGAGAGAGGCTTGATGGAAAGAGGGGGTTGGGTTTGGGTTTGGGTTTGAAGGGGGGACAGACAACATCCTTTTTTTTCCCACCTCTTCCCCCTCCCCTTCCGCGGCTCTTTTCCCGCACCAACCTCACCTCTCCCTTTTCCCGCACCAACCTCACCTCTCCCTTTTCCCACACCAACCTCACCTCTCCCGTCCTTCTTCAAAACACAGATACTCTTCCTTCACGGTGATGCAGGGTAGTTTTGAGAATTCCAGTTTTGAGGCGCCTCAAACAAGGTGATGCAGGTTAGTTTTGAGAATTCTCAGAAATACCGTGCTGGATACTCTTCTGGCAGCGCAGCGCAGGACCCGAGCTGATGGAGCTGTTTGGAAATGCCATGCCATGCTGGTTACACCAACCACCCCCAACCCCCCTAAACCCCCGTCCTCCCCCCTCTCTCAGCCAAGTGGCAGCGCAGCGCAGGACCCCAAGCTGATGGAGATGCCATGCTGCTGGTTGGACCATCTGCTCTGCGCTTAACCCCCACTTACTCACTCACACCGCACTGCACTCCCTTTTTGTTCGTTTGCAGCCAAGTGGCAGGGTAGCGCAGGACCCGGAGCTGATGGAGCTGTTTGGGCGTGCTCTGCTGGTTGCACCATCAGATCTTAACACCCACCTACCCACACCGCACTCCACTCCACTCCACTCCCCTGTTCCCCCCTTTGTGCTTTGACAGCCAAGTAGCTGCACAGGACCCCGAGCTGATGGAGCTGTTTGGAGATGCCATGCTGGACCCGCAGCAGATGCAGGAGAAGGTGAGGTGCGGTGGGATGAGGTGGAGTGCGGTGGAGATAGGGATGAGGATGGGGTGGGGGGGAATGAGGTGGGGTGGGGTTCGGTGGGGTGGAATGGGGTGTGAATTTGCAGCTGAATCTTACAAGGAGGTTTGGAGATGCCGTGCTGGATCCCAAACCTCAGAAGCCTCAACGCTGACCCGAACCCTGCTGTGCTGCTGTGCTGCTGCTGTGCTGCTGCTGTGCTGCTGCTGTGCTGCTGCTGTGCTGCTGTGTTGCTGCTGTGCTGCTGCTGTGCTGCTGCTGTGCTGCTGCTGTGCTGCTGCTGTGCTGCTGCTGTGCTGCTGCTGTGCTGCTGCTGTGCTGCTGTGTTGCTGCTGTGCTGCTGCTGTGCTGCTGCTGTGCTGCTGCTGTGCTGCTGCTGTGCTGCTGTGCTGCTGCTGTGCTGCTGCTGTGCTGCTGCTGTGCTGCTGTTGCGCTGCTGTTGTGCTGCTGTTATGCTGCTGTTGTGCTGCTGTTGTGCTGCTGTTGTGCTGCTGTTGTGCTGCTGTTGTGCTGCTGTTGTGCTGCTGTTGTGCTGCTGTTGTGCTGCTGTTGTGCTGCTGTTGTGCTGCTGTTGTGCTGCTGTTGTGCTGCTGTTGTGCTGCTGTTGTGCTGCTGTTGTGCTGTTGTGCTGCTGTTGTGCTGCTGTTGTGCTGCTGTTGTGCTGTTGTGCTGCTGTTGTGTAACCCACGGACAGCAATTGCAGAACAATTACACTGTCTTTCTCCCTACTCTTGCTCAAGCCTGAACCTAAGCGCTGCTGCTCACTGGAAAATGTCTGAAGATCTCCAAACCTCAGATGCCTGAACGCCGACCCTTAACCCTTGATTGAACCCGTCTTAAGTCGTGTGTGATAAGTCGATTTTTGAGTCGACTCAAAACTCGACTTATCAAACCAAACCTCAGAAGCCTGAATGCTGACCCTAAACCCTAAACCCTAAACCAGAAACCCTTGAACCCATCGTAACCCTGCACCATCTCTTCCCCCCTGCCTGTCAGATGGAGGAGCGAATTCGATCAAAGCAGGCGGAGCTGCAGCTGCTGTCCTTACATGCCCCCCCCCCCCCCCCTTTCCTCCCCCCACCGTTTCCCCTCCCCAACCTTTCCACTCCCCCCCTGCTGTCAGATGGAGGAGCGGATCCGCTCAAAGCAGGCAGAGCTGCTGGCGGAGAAGCGAGGCAGCGGGGCCACCATGCAGGTGGCCATTAAAGAGTATGTACAGTAAATAGTGTACAGTGCTTACGTTACAGTTTCTGGCGTATGCTAGAAAGTTTACACCGGGGCAACAACGCAGGTTGCCATAAAGGAGTATGTGCAGTGCAGTGATGAATTAGTGTATTAGAACATTGTAAACATCAGTTTTGTACTACACGTCTTTACCATACCACGTGCGCATCTGGTTTGACTGCGCATAAGCATAATATTCTTGTTTATCACTTTTTGCTTTACCTACTTGCCTCTGCTCCTCCCCTATCCTGGTTATAGGATCGACCCATTTGACATGTACATCCGGTTACAACTGCTCTTGCTTATCCCCTTTCTCTATGCACTTGCGTCCCCCCCCCCTCTCTCACCCCCCATATCCCATATCCTCGTTATAGGATCGGTCCGTTTGACATGTACATCTGGTTCGATCGAGCTTCACATATTGATCTTATCTTTCTTATCCTTCTTGTTATCCCTATACTCGTTATAGGATCGACCCATTTGACATGTATATCTGGTTCGAGCTTCACAAGACACCTTCAGAAGACGATATGAATACACTCGGCAGTGTGAGTGGACCTGTTTTCAGGAAGGAATTTTACTTTAAATGATCTTTCTCTCGTTCCACTCCTCGCCGTCTTGTTCCTTGGCTCATCTGTCTCACTCTGTTTCTCTCAAGATTTTAGGCGCCTTAAAAACCGTCTCTCGTTCCACTCTTGGCCGTCTTGTTCCGTTGTTCATCTGTCGCACTCTGTTTCTCTCACAACAACCCCTTCCCGTCCCCCCCATCCCTTCACTCTTCCTTCCCCATCCACATCCCCATCCCACCATGGCAGGTCATCAGAGCATGGTACGTGGTGGGCAAGCTGGGAGGCTACAACTCCGCCAACCTACAGGTACCATTCTATACCACTCTGGGGAATTTTGAACAGGAGCCTGGCAGGACCCAGGTCATCCGAGCATGGTACGCGGTGGGCAAGCTAGGAGGGTACGACTCCGCCAACCTGCAGTTACCACTCTATACCACTCTGGGAAACCTTGAACAGGAGCCTGGCAGGATACGAGGTCATCAGAGCATGGTTCGTGGTGGGCAAGCTGGGAGGCTACAACTCCGCCAACCTGCAGGTATGCCTCTTGTTGTGTTTTGAGTCGACTCAAAACACACCTCTTCGGTCTAGGTGGGTGGGCTGGGCTCGCCTGTTGTGTTTTGAGTCGACTCAAAACACACCTCTTCGGTCTAGGTGGGTGGGCTGGGCTCGCCTGTTGTGTTTTGAGTCGACTCAAAACACACCTCTTCGGTCTAGGTGGGTGGGCTGGGCTCGCCTGTTTCCTCCCTGCGGCCTGCCGAGTGGCACGTGGTGGGCACTGGGCAAGCTGGGAGGGAGGCTAGGGGCAGGTCACCCTCTGCTCTGGTACGTGGTGGTGCAAGCTGGGAGGCTACAACTCCGACAACCTGCAGGTAGGAGGAGGCTAGGGGCCCTTTTGTGTGTTGTATCCGCACCAGAAAATGCATGGCACCGCACCTGGTTGCTGCGGTTTGAATCCTTCTTTACTCTGCAAGAGGGAGGCACCAAGCATGGCAGGTCGTTCATCCTCTGCTCTGACTTTTAAGTCGACGTGACTTTTGAGCCAACTCAAAAGAGGTGACTTTTGAGTCGACTCAAAAGTCATCCTTCTTGCAAGAGGGAGGCACCAAGCATGGCAGGTCGTTCACCCTCTGCTCTGGTACGTGGTGGCGCAAGCTGGGACTCTTGAGAATTCTCAAAAGTCGCACCAATATAGCTGGGAGGGTACAACTCGAGAAATAGCTTCTTCTTTTCTGAGTCAACTCAGAAGACTTTTGAGTCGACTCAAAAGTCAACTCAGAAGATTCCACATGCCTGCCTGCCATCCACAAGAACAGCCTCCCTGCTCGGCCGTAATGGTTTTCCTTTATGGGGATGGGGAAGTCATGAGGAGAGGAGATGGTCTTCCTTCATGGTTTTCCCAAGTCATAATTCATGCCTCCCTCAGGCATCATTCCCCCCTCCCCATCCGCTTTCCTGTAATCGGAGGGAGACAAATCATCGAAGTTCAAGTGCGCTGTGGGCAGGGCACAGCAGCGTCTGCCCTGCCTGCTGCTGCTGCTGCTGCTGCTGCTGCTGCTGCTGCTGGCCGTGTGTTACCCATTTACCCGCCTGCCTGCCACCTCCCTCGTTTCACCCTGCCTTCCACCTGCCGTTTTCACCCCAGCTGATGAAGGGAGACGAGTCGTCCAAGTACAAGTACGATGTGGGCACGGCAGCATCTGCTCTACCAGCTACTCTTGTGCGCCCACATCCCTCCATTTTCCCTGCCATGCCCCCTCCTCATCCCACCCCAGCTCATGGAGGGAGACGAGTCGTCCAAGTACAAGTACGATGTGGGCACGGCAGCATCCGCCCTGCTTTCCGTGCTGCTCTTATGTACCCACATGCCCCTCTTTCCTGCCATCCCCCCTCTTTGATCCCACCCCAGCTAATGCAGGGAGACGAATCCTCAAAGTACAAGTACGATGTGGGCACAGCAGCGTCCGCCCTGCCTGCCTTGATGCACAACGTTGGGGACCTCGAGTTTCAAGACAACCTGGGACGGATATGGTGAGATTCATAGTGTGGTTACTGGTTACCAGATGTGGTGGTCACACCTGGGAGCCTAGCCTATTATGTGCTTACACCTGGGAGCCTAGCCTATTATGTGCATACACCTGGGAGCCTAGCCTATTATGTGCATACACCTGGGAGCCTAGCCTATTATGTGCATACACCTGGGAGCCTAGCCTATTATGTGCATACACCTGGGAGCCTAGCCTATTATGTGCATACACCTGGGAGCCTAGCCTATTATGTGCATACACCTGGGAGCCTAGCCTATTATGTGCATACACCTGGGAGCCTAGCCTATTATGTGCTTACACCTGGGAGCCTAGCCTATTATGTGCATACACCTGGGAGCCTAGCCTATTATGTGCATACACCTGGGAGCCTAGCCTATTATGTGCATACACCTGGGAGCCTAGCCTATTATGTGCTTACACCTGGGAGCCTAGCCTATTTTGTGCATACACCTGGGAGCCTAGCCTATTATGTGCATACACCTGGGAGCCTAGCCTAGTGTGTGAATGCTAGGCTACCTAGTACAACGTTGGTACACCACCACCACCACCTACCTACCTGCCTGCCTGCACCACACCACCACCACCACCAGCAGCAGCAGCTGCCTGCCTTGATGCACAACGTTGGGGACCTTGAGTTTCAAGAAAACTTGGGACGGATATGGTGAGACCGTGCGACTGGGATGGGGATAGTGCTATGGAATGGAGATGAGTCGAAGGGTTACCACCGTCGGTACCTGCCATATGCCACTGTGCGACTTGGATGGGGAGGATATGGTGAGACTGTGAGACTGGGATGGGGATACAGAGAATGCTATGGTCATGAACGGTGGGTTGCAGCCCGTGTTCTGATTTAATTCTGATCATTCAGTGGCACCAATGCCATCTTTGTTCATACTCCGAATCTGGTTTTATGACAATCAACATTCTCTCATGACTCATAAGCATGGCACATAAGCATCGCACACATGATGCCTTTTCTCAAACTCTTCCCTCTCCCCCGCACTCTCTCATACTCCCCAGGCTAGAACATGGGAGCAGCAAACATGTCGAAAATCAGCATTCTCCTTCATCCGCTCCCCATTTCCTCCACATACACTCTTCCCCACCTCACCAGGCTCGACATCGGCACAGCAAACACACTCTCTCTCACCAGAAGAGAGAGGGTGGATGTCGACATTCTCTCTCTCTTCTCCTCGTGTAGTGAGGTGTATTTTGAGGCTAGACACCTCGAATGACAACATTTTGAGGCGCCTCAAAATACACCTCGACATCGGCACAGCAAACATGGTGGATGTCGACATTCTCTCTCTCTTCTCCTCACCTCCCTCTCTCCCTCCCCACCCAACACACACACTCTTCTTCTCCCCTCACCAGGCTAGACATGGGAACAGCAGACATGATGGCAGTTGATATTCTCCTCAACTCCCTCAATGCCGTTAGCTCCGAGTGAGTGCTTCGTTTTTTTTTTTTTTTCTCCCGCTCTTTTCTTTGCTTGTGTTCTTGTGAAAAATATTAGAAGGATGCGAACCAACTCAAAGCAATGCATCTTCTCCTTAACTCCTTCGACTGGGTAAATCCCAAGCTTACGAGCTTTGAGGTGCCTCAAAAACTCTGACTGGGTAAGTTACGGCGAGACTTGGCCAAGGAGCTGAGGGAATTGAAGGAGTTAATGTGTGCTTCATGTGAGTCGACTCAAAAGCAGACTTAATGTGTGCTTCAGAGGGCATTCTGTGTCCCTATGAACCCGAGCCTCAATGCTTCAGAGGGCATTCTGTGTCCCTATGAACCCGAGCCTCAATGCTTCAGAGGGCATTCTGTGTCCCTATGCACCCGAGCCTCAATGCTTCAGAGGGCATTCTGTGTCCCTATGCACCCGAGCCTCAATGCTTCAGAGGGCATTCTGTGTCCCTATGCACCCGAGCCTCAATGCTTCAGAGGGCATTCTGTGTCCCTATGCACCCGAGCCTCAATGCTTCAGAGGGCATTCTGTGTCCCTATGCACCCGAGCCTCAATGCTTCAGAGGGCATTCTGTGTCCCTATGCACCCGAGCCTCAATGCTTCAGAGGGCATTCTGTGTCCCTATGCACCCGAGCCTCAATGCTTCAGAGGGCATTCTGTGTCCCTATGCACCCGAGCCTCAATGCTGCTGCTGGTGCTTGGGTGTGCAGAGTACGTGCCCTTGAATAATTGATGCACTTAACTTATTGTTCCATTCCTGTTGTCTCGCACTTGTGGCGTCGCTCCAGTTTCGTTATCACTGCAAGGTGGCATCAGCACTGCATGTCATATGCTGCCAAGAGCGCCCTCTTTGTCCTATCCCTTTCTTTACTTATCTTGCAGCCATGTGGGTATAAAGAAGGTGACAGTAGGCGGTTCAAAGATGGATGATTGGGAGGAAGGCATGACACGACCTGAAGATGGTTACCAATCCTACAGCATATGAATGATAGTTTGAATTGATTATCATACATCATGTTACAAAGCGTTATATGATCCTAGAGCATATGACTAGGAATATTGGTTCTCCTTTATTTGTTCATCATGTACCGTATGCTTTCATTTCATGATGGTCATCTGACTTAGAGCCTGACAAGCTTGTTTGATTGTCATCACTTGGTGTAGAAATTTCAAGCGAAAGCTCCAATATGACACAAGATACCCGTAAGGTTCGAATTGTACAGTACTGGTATATTTCACACCAGCATCAGACTTGGCGGAACTTCAGCAAGTCTTTAATACTTCCACCCAAACGATGTAATGTGTACGCCTATCCGCGTTGGATAGGGCATAGGAAAAGGAAGGAAAATCGGTGTTGAACTTGCACGATAACAAAATATGCGGCGCAAGAAACCTATACAGCGACTTACACTGTACCTTAGTTAATTTGTGTACCAGTCATGCGCAGTAATAATCACCTCTAGGAGAAATTGACATGCCGACACACAGTGCATAATGTCAGATTATAATGCTTGTCTAGTCTATAGTGGGGTACTCAAAAGTGAGTATAACCCTTTTGGGCTTGCTACTTGTATCCCTCTCCTTTCTAGTTCAATCACTTCTTCTCCTATTTCTCTTTCATATACCCTAAAACCTAGCTATGGCTTCTTAGCCTTGGCTACTATTCTTAACACATAATTGAGACGGCTAACCATAACGCGATGTCGTTAGATGCACGACCCTAACCGACGACGCAGTGCGATTTCAACTCGCAACTACACTGCTATGAGGCTCAGCACTAGCGGATTTATAATAACGACATCTTCCGAGGCGAAGAGACGTGGGCGTAGTTTCGAGCAGTCCTAATCAAAGGTATCGAACCTGTAAATACTTACACATCAACAAGAGGTTTTCTTTTATGTAGGCGTTCTCGTTTTTTTACACTGTCTGAAGAATGTATTGTTCAGGAGAATATCAATGCCGAATACGGCATATAGAGTGGTGGTAGAAGAGATCATTGAATGCCATAAACATCTCTAACATCTCTCAAACATCTCTAACAAAGCTCGAAAAATGCAACACGTCAAAGATTCAGGTGTCCCGATGACGCATCCAATTATTTTCAGGTCGATTTGAAAACCTAGGCTATTGAACAACTGATTTCATTTTAGAAATGATGTGATACGCTAGTTGTTGCAAATTCTGGCTTACAAAATTGCCCGTGCATCTTACTATCAAGTCCGTCAAGTCACCCACCATGTAAAAGGGTGAGAATGTCGGAGGTGCACAAAACACAACTTAGATCATAATGAAATCCCTGATCATGATGTGTGTAAGTGAGTGAGTGTGTGTGTGTGTGTGTGTGCGTATGTGTGTATCTGTTGTCATTATCTAACGAGCAGAAATGAATGAACTAGCAGCAAGATGGGCACGAGTAGGAAACCCAAATTGGGTTGTACCCCATATGGGCTACCCCACTACAGCCTACACAATAAGCAGCATATGAGTTTGACACACCCCCATAGGCAAAGCGGGGGAGAACAAGAGGTCACAAGACCGGTCAAGAAAAGCAAAGCAAGCTTAGGGTGGATCACGAAGCCACCACGTATTCTGAGCACAAGCAAATGGCCACAAGGACAATTCACATTCATAGTTATATATAAAGGAGAACAAATAGTACAGTGATCATGTTGAAATGAACGAACAGGAATGATTGAACTAACAGTGAAATCAGTACAAGTACCTAACCCTAGAATTGTGTACCCCCTATAGGATAACCCACTGTAGCCTAAACAAGCACAACATATATAATGTTTGACACACCCCCATAGGCGAAGTGGGGGAGAACTAGGGGTCACAAGACCAGTCAAGTAAAGCAAAGCAAGCTCAGGGTGGATCACAAAGTCACCACACATTCCGAGCACAAGTTCAAGGCCACAAGGCCAGTTCACACGCAGGAGTACATATATTTATAAGGCTAGACAAGCAAGAGCAGGTATATATATATATATATATATATATATGTAACAGTACAAGCAAGGTCAAGAGGTGAGCAAGTGAGGCTCCTGAGCAGCCATGGCCCCTGCGTAGATCTCAGCCTCACAACTGGAGCTGAGAACAGAAGACGAGCGAGTAGCCCGCCACGAAACAGAGCCGGAACCAAGGCTGAAGGTGTAACCCTGTGACGACCGCTGCGTAGCCTGGTCGTCAGCCCAAGAAGCGTCTGCGTGACCAGTGAGGACCACTGGACTCCACCCTCCAAGCACTAGCCCCATGCCCGACGTACTGCACAAGTAGCGCAACACCCTCTTCGCTGTAGCCATGTGCTCTGGTCGGTGTCTCCCAGGAGCAACATAGCGTGCGAGAATGCTAAGAGGGTATGCAAGGCCAGGTCGTGTGCAGGTCATCAGGTACATGAGGCAGCCAACAAGCTCTGGGTACGGGCCACTCGACTCTACGGACTCATCCGAAGGCAGAGCTGAGAGCGAGTGGCGAGTAGGCAGAGGAGTGGCCTGATGCGAGGAGTATGTGAAGCTGAAGCGCTGAAGGACCTGCTGCACCATGTGTGACTGAGTCAGGGTGATGGTGCGGCGTGCTCTGTCCCGGGTGATCTGCAAGCCAAGGTAGCTGCGCAGCTCACCCAGGTCTGTGCACGTGTGTCTCTTCTGCAGCTCGAACTTCACGTAGGTGAGTCGAGCAGTGTCAGCTGTGGCAAAGACCAAGTCGTCGACGTACACGAGGATGTAGAACGGCGGCAGAGAAGTGTCGGTGCGTAGAAAGAGCGACGGGTCGGCAGTAGAGGGAGCAAACCCAAGAGCCGCAAGCGTAGTCCTCAGTGTGTCGTGCCACTCACGCGGTGCCTCGCAGAGACCGTAGACTGGCCGCCGGAGGCTCCACTGGGTGCCAGGAGGAAAAGTCCCAGTGAAGCCAAGTGGGCGGCGCAGGCAGATCTCCTCGTGCAGGCTGCCCTGCAGGAAGGCAGTGCTTAAGTCAAGAGAGTGTTGCTCGTAGTCACGGTAAGCAGCTACGTGCAGTAGTACTCGAAGAGTGGTCATCTTCGGGGTGGGAGAGAAGGTCTGAAAGTAGTCAACTCCTTGCCGCTGCTGAAGCCACGAGCCACGTAACGTGCATTGAAGACAGGCGGAGAACCCGGCGGCCGCTTCACCCTGACAATCCACATGCCACTGACGATGTTTGCCCCAAGAGGGGGGACAGCGTCAACGTAGGTGCCTGTGGACTTCCAGGAAGCCATCTCTGCATCCATAGCTGCCTGCCACTGAGAAGAGTAGGGACCCTCTATCGCCTCCGCGTAAGAGCGCGAAGTCGGGATGTCAAAAGCATCCGGGTCTCCCTCAGGGGTAAGCAAAACGGACACGAGATGAGGTGAAGCAGCGGCCAAGCACTGGAACTCCTCCTGCCTGTCCTCAAGGACGTCCGTGCGAAGGGCACACTCACCCCGGACGGACGGAGGACAGACAGACTCAGACTCAGCGACAAGACTAGCAGCGTAGTCTAGACGACAGCGAGCAGCAAAGTCGACGAGCTCAGCAAGTAGGGCAGACGCAGCAGTGGACTCAAAAGAAGGGTCAGTGATGACAGTAGCAAGGAGACGCGTGACAGTAGGACTGGCAGCACGAAGAGAGTCCGACTCCGGGTCGGGAAGAGCAGGAAGAGAGGACTCAGGAGGAGAAGGCAAAGGGGCACGCAGAGGAGCAGTGGACGGACGCAGAGACATCCGGTGCGGGCTAGGGACAGGAGAAGGACGCTGACGCGAACCGCAACCACTAGTGCGAGCAGTACGGACAGGCGACGCAGGGCGAGACGCAGGCTCACGACGCTCTGCAAGACCTCCAGTAGGACCAGTGTAGGGAGAAGGAGCAGGCAGTGGGGAGGCGGGCTGTAACTGTAACCTTGACTTGACAGGCTGTCGACACTCTTAGGGAGGAAGAGGACCGAGAGAAGGCGGGAGACCAAGAACCTGCTGAAGGAGCGGAACGAAGTACGGCCG